CGCTAACATTAGCAAGCCGCTAGCAAATCGCCTCTCCGTGCCGCAACTTCATCTGCGTTTTCTACTAGAGTTGATGTGGATGTGTTGTCATAGAAACAGATGTGATACCGAGAACATTTTTAACGTTCCTACTGCCATATTTGCGGTAAATCTGGATCAGCAATATGTTCAGAGAGATTCTTCGAAGCCATAATAAAAGATTCCCATACACACACACACGAACACACAAAGTGCATAAAATCCAGTGTGCCCTGGTGTGATGGACTGGCAGCCTGGGCAGGGAGGTGCCCACACCCGTCTGGGAGAGGGTGCAGGGCCTCTGAGATCCCGTACTGCACAAGGGATTCAAAGATCGAGAAGATAGATAGATAAAACAGACAGACAGACAGACGATTAGGATGAGGGTAATGAAAGGCGGAGGGGTTGAGACCTGCATGCCTGACCTGTCCCAGCACCCTACAGTTCTCCTGTTATCCACCCTCTGTCTACAGCTGGTATTACTGCACCTCACTGGTACCACTGCACCTCACTGGTACCACTGCACCTCAGCTGATCCACCACCCGACCCTCCAGACCGCAGAAGCAGGCAGGTGTGAGAAATGAAGGCCATTTAAATGAAGAGCTGGAGTCGGCTGATATCAGGAGTCATGACAGGCGAGGGGCTGGTGGTGGGTGGGGTGTGACCTGCAGGTCATGCTGCTGCTCCGCGCTGAGCTCTGATGCACGCCCGCTTCACGTGGACGGAACACTGGCGAATACTTTTGAAGAAGGGAGGTGAGGAAAGGAAGAGTATCGCGAGCTGGGCTTTATGCTGATCATGGACGCGTTTTCATTACAGTCCCACGAAAGGCCTGGCATGGAAAGGCAGGATGGCCGATAGGAAATAAGGCGAAACAGAAAGCGAGACGCAATTGCACATTTTGATCCTCGTCTGGAACAATCGCATCACCCAGGAACAGACCGACTGCAAACCCCACCCGATTCACAGCTTGGCTCCACATTAAAAATATGTGGCACAGAGTGCAATAGAAATCTTCAGACAAGAACCCACTGTACAAACCCCCCCCCCCCCAAATACACACACACGCACACACACACACACACACACACACACACCACGCCAAGAATCCGTCTCCTCACTGCACAGAAGTCCATTTGGGACATAATGAGCTTAGCTTTAGGCCGATGTGAAGCCTTCCTCTTTTAACGAGATTACCGGAAGAACAGTCAACACCCTCGGACCAAGCATTCCCCCTCAACACATGGCGTGGGTCGATCCGGCCACAGCAGACCACACACCCCAAGCTGGTTTACGCCGACACTGAGCATATAACCCCCTTACACTCTCAGCTGTCTTGGAAACGACCAGATGTAGATTCCTTAACAGGAAGGCAGAGACACACGTTAGATAAGTGCTGTTTGATGGTTTACGCTCTCCTGTTAAGCTAACGAGGTCTTCCCCATGCCGTCCCAACCCTGATCACGCCACCGGCCAGGGCTGAGATGCCGCACTGATTTTCAGACCGTCATAAATCTATTTGAGGCGTTACGTCTAGGTCCAAAATATTTTCTGGACGTGAAGACAGCACAGGGCTCAGCAAACCATCCACCACTGTTCACATACATTAAACACCACAGAAACTTTTGTGGACACCCCTCTCCAGCGATGACACTGAAGGATCTGGTGCCAAGAGGGGTGAGGATGACAATAATGACAATTTTTACTACGTCCCCCCCACCCCATGGACAGCCCCGCTAATATCCCAGCGACTGAGATGGTGTACCAGCAGCGCCCGCCGTACCGTGTGTTTAGGCGTGTGTGTCTGATCTCCCCCCCCCCCCCACCCCCCGTCCATAAGAAGGCTCGAGGGACAGCCGTTGCCATGCCGACTGGAATGCTTCATTCTCACGGTGAGTTTGCGCTGCTGTTCAAACGGGAGCGCCGGTGAGCACACGCGTGGCGAGAGAGGGGCAGGAAGTGATGCGTGTTTCAGTGCCTGCTTGGGGCATGGGGTTACCACGACGACACACGGAGCCATCCATACATTTAATCAGAGAGGATGATTCTTGCAAAAATAAATGAATAGTAATGACATCATCATCATCTCCCCACCATTTTTCCTGGGGAGGGTCACATGGCAGAAAAAGTTAGATATCACAATAATAGCAACATAAGGGCAACAGGAAACACTGTAATTAGTTTGTTCTGTTGATATATTTCATTCTGAAAGACTTAATTTAGGATCTTTATTTACTATTATTTAAATGACTTATTGCACATTTATGAATTGTCTATAAGCACTTGTCTGTCTGACTTCACAAACACGATGGAGAACTGGGTGACTTTTACACTAGTTGACAAACACGACGAACCTTGGACACCATCTATTGTGCCGAGTTTTCCAGACCACAAACGTGACCACAAACAGCCCAGAGCTGGAGAGGAGAGTGTCCCATGGGGACAGGAACGAGACCCGCCAGGATTAGCCTCAGCTCACACAACAGGCTTGTGTGTGTGCATGTGTGTGTGTGTGCATGTGTGTGTGCGTGCATGTGTGTGTGCGTGCATGTGTGTGTGCGTGCATGTGTGTGTGCGTGCATGCGCAAAAACTGCTCCCAACAATGTCTTCTGGCATATTTCTTCTTTACATCAACCTATATAGCTATATGACTTTATCAATTAAATCCCTCTGTATTTATATAAACATTCATAGTTTCTAATCTACTTGTTCTGTGATTTCTACATCATGAATGTAGTTCAGTGCTATGGGTTAAGCGTGTTAAGAAGAGTCATGTATGAAAGATAAACTGAAGGGAATGTAACTGCACTTGTCTTTAAAAAGGTTGTTGACAAAAGTTATAAATCCTTGGAGAAGTTTGCCAGCCTGAGCTGGATGTAAAGGATACATACAACCACACTGTCCAACTGAGTGTTTGCTCAGCTCAAATTTTACATCATTAACCCATCATGAAATGCTGAGATTGTAGGCCATTCATACCAGTGCATCTTTGGAAAAACAATATTTCAGAATATCACCCTTTGAAATTTACTTTACTTCACTGATATACAAAGGCTGGATGAAACACAGGTCAAAATAAACCACATAACATGCTGTCTTATCTCGTTCACAAACATCCATTCCACAGTAAATGTCCAACCTCTTGGCAATCGAGTCTCAATCCAATATCCAACAGGTGTTTTAAGCAGCTGGTGTGACGGGCTGCCATGCCGTTCAGGTTGTACCCCTGCCTCGATTCACTATCAACCTGACACGCGGAGAAATACGGAATTGCGTGGATGTTCATAGCAGAAACACCTGTTATTCCAATCCAGACACAACATTTAGTTCAACTCCAAGTCAAAAGACTTGTTTCCATAAATATATGTTCATTTATACGCTGCAGGCGGGACGGGTGACATGATAACTTAATAATCCAAGCAGCCCCCCTCTCTGCTTTTATTACCGGGACCCAGAAGGCTTCCTTCGGCATGACTTGCACCGATCTCGGCTCCCTCTCCCCTGTTTGGTGCCGAACGCTCCCGGGCACACGGAAAATGCTGAGGGCTGCCTCATCAAACCATAAACCCGACGTAAATAAAGGGGCTTATTAAACCGGGGACATCCAAACCGCGCACCCCCACCCCCATCCAGCAACGGGGGAATGGAGTACGAAAAAAGCCGAAAACCCAACGAGGCTTCTGCGGATCTAAAAGAACACCCTTAATATAAACGAGAACAATAGTCCCCAGCGATGCAAAGTGCCAATACTTCTTTAACTCTTGAGATTTACATAATGCCCCCCTTCTCCAGAGTCCTCACACTGCCCCTGCATCTGCAATCCTGCGCTCCTCTCCTACATTTACAAACAGTTTATTTCTCTTAATAATAAAAATTAAACCAGAACCGACAGGTAGGTAAGTCGGCAGCCCGTTTCGACTGTGAGAAACGACACAGGAAGAGCACTTCACCCGTATTTTCTAATGCAACCGACTTGAAAATAACAATGAATCGGCTGATATCTGACAATGTGCTTTTCCCTCACAATCACTCCAACTTGGAGGCGCATTAATACAGCAGCTACACAGCTTAAGATAACATTATGTGCATTTCCCAAGATAGATCGCTACTTTTTTATTGCGAGGCCCTTTCAAAAGAAGATCTTGCAGTGGAAAGTGGCTGGCCGGGCTGTGTTTAAGGGGCACGGTATGCGGCGCGGGTTATTTTTGATAAAATGCTCTCTCTCGGCGACGGCTTGGATGCAGTTGTGACGGACATCGGGGAATGCGAGTGCTGACGGCGACTAGCTGCATGATCGGGGCTAAAACAAAGAGTGATAACGCGTACCAGCTAGCCAGCGAACCACCTTACCCAGCTAACTTATGGGGCTATTAAGAAGAACAATAAAAAGGCAGAAATGCTGCACGCATATTTAAAAATTAAAGACTGGGGCATTTCCCTCCTGGAAAAAAAAGAAATGCATGGCTGAGAATGAGATCATCCGAGGCCAACACACACACACACATACACACACACACAAAAAAATCTGTTTAAAAAATTGGCTAGCCAAAATGAAGCCAGCTAAGCTAGTGGAGAGGCTGTCCGTAGCAGCAGCCACCTGCCGTAGCGATCAGATCCATCTGCGTAAAAGGAGAAAGGCGAAACGGAGCCGGGGAAGCCAGTTTAATAAGAAATAATTAATCCAGTAAGCCTTTCAGTTTGCAGGAGAAGAAGGACCGGATAACGAAGCGAAAATCGATGCACAAAAAAAAATTAGACAGCTAACGATCAGCAAGCCAAGAGATGAGAATATACAGATACACATATAGGTAGAATAAATATATTCACCTGGACTGAGAACTGGTGTGTTGATGAGGATGAGGATGGTGGAGGTGGTAGTGATGGAGCGAGAGGTGGTTGTTGTTGTTGGTGGGTTACAGTCGCCAGGACTACGGTGACTATGGCGCTGATTCGCAGGGCAACAGTTGCTATAAAGCTCACCGGGAGGGGGGCGCAACCTAACATGGCGCGCGGGAAGAGGCGGCGCCGGCGTGGCAGAGGGGGTGCCGGTGGCGCGCGCCCGGCTCCGCCTGCCGATCTGTGTCCATTCCTCACTTCGGGGTCTTTGTTTCGCCGACTCTCAGTGTGGTCTTTAACCTGACTGGTTCCGACAGCCAGTTTTGCACTCAACCCCCCCCCCCCCCCCCCCCCCCCCCCCCGGAGGATTTGCTCGCTTCCGCCCCGCTAACCCCCCCCCCCCAGTTAACCTTCCCGCAGCAGGTGCAGGAACAAGTAAACCGACAATGCAAGCGGGTCAGGGGACTTCGGCCGATCGCGTAGCTCAGCTACTGCGCTCGCATGCAGCTTTAATAACTATAGTCAATCTAAGTACTTTAAGTCCATACCATATGTACAAATACGAAATAAACACCTACAGCTGTTACTATAATGCAGTTTATCACGTCACACTCATAACTAGCTACTTATTCGGCAGAGACGATGCTTATGTGTTTAATCTTAAGAGATGAACGTATTAAATGGACAGCAAGCGCCAGCATGGTGTGCGGAGCGTGCATCAGATCGGGGGGTGTCGATGGCTCAGTCGCAGCCTCTGTATTTTCCTCGGGGGCGGGACTTCCTTCAGTCGCAGCTGCATGGCGAAGATAGGTAGAGAAGACAGAGAAAGGGGAGAGAAGTCCCTTTCCCTTTCTCCATGTACTGTTCCTTTCTCCCTCGGAGGTTTGCCGTTATTGGTTAATCAAAGCTGTTTGAAGACTGTCTAAATCTAACGAATTGCTGGCAAAATTATATTTTGTCAGTTCCTTGGCTTTCTGGTCATTTATAGTCTAACCTAGCATTTCCTTTTAATTATTTTTTAAATTTCCCACATAATTTATTTTGTGAATGTCCGTTATGCAAACGCAGTCTCTAAATGCATGCATTTTTATCTTGCGATATTTAGCTGTAGTCCGCTGAAAATCTTAATTTTCGTTCTCCATTAATTGAAATATTAGACGTGCTGAAAATGGCATTGCAGTGGTATGAACGCGACTACGTAAAGTTTTATGCTTGAATATATGAGGCGATTTTGGGTGAATTCAGAGCAGTGGACATCCATGAAAAACTCGGTTAATGGTGCCATGTTTTCACCTGCTTGCCATATGGAAAAACCTTGAATGTACAGTGATTTAATAAACTAAATAAAATGCAATACAGTTACGTTGTTGTTATTATTTTTGCCATTTAAATGGTGCCTAATCTGTTAATTGACCTACCTTCCCGTTTTCCCGTTATTCTATGTCAGTTTTAGCTACCTCATACCTATTCAATTACCGATAAACAATATATTTGCTAAATGACGCATTATTTTACACTTGTCCGTTGATTCTGCTTCTAACTAGTCTTACGGTTTACTTTCCGTTTGTAGTTAAAAAAATAACTTTTAAAAACATATAAATTTTTTTCTGACAACAGAAAAACAGCCATTCAAAAAATGACGGTGTGTAGGCTGAAAACTGAAAGTGAATAGTCAAAACTGACTTTTAGTTCCCGGTTTTGATCCCCGTAACTCTGTGGTTCCTGCGAAAGCCATTTAGCCATCGGTAAATTCTAGTGACCTCCCGGCTCACCCACCTGCACTGATTTTGCTCTGATATGGGGACATCGATCATTTGTGTAAAACAAACTGGCGTTATGGCACAATATACGGCACAGTAAAGAATATTTAATCAATGTCCATATAAAGTGAGAGAGATTGACACTGTTACAGATGCAATCGCATATACCCTGAGAAGAACTGCAATTTGAAAGGTTGGAAACACGCTGTTTAGTGAATGTGCACCAAGAGTCACTTAGAACAGGGACCAGTGACAAAGCCGTGAAATTAGGCAGCCATATTATAGACTAGCACACAGGGGTTTTAACATAATATAGCAGTAATAAAACCTGGCAGTGATTGACACGACGCTATTTAAATTTTACAATGCCCCCTTTTTTGTAATCCTACTCGTGTTATGAAAGCTTCATAAAATAGAGAGAGAACCAGATGCTTTGCAATACCCGTTGCCTACTTGTCAAGACATTTGAGGAAAAAAGTATCTTCAATAAACAGTGTTTTCATTGCATAAGAATGGAATCTAGATTTTGACATTGGAGGTTGCATTTATGGGACAAGGGGGTTGTGTTCTGTGACTAATTCAAATTAGTGTACCAGTTAACTTTAAGAACAGTAGACGAAGAAAATGCATGTTAAATGAGTATGTTAATTTCCAGTCATATATAGTGTCAGCTTTAACACTAAGTTGAGTTTCTTTTTACCTTCTTTAACCTATGCTTTGTGGCAGGACAAGTTTGATTGTTTAAAAACCACAACGTATCATTTCACCATATTTAGGCCTATGTGAGATAAGACATCATTGTCGAATCCAAATCATTAGGCTATAAGACAAAACAGGGCTATCAAAAACAAGACATACAATAAAGACCTACAATGAAATTGTTAAATCAAATCAGGCTTGACGTTTTTCGGGACTCGGGGTCTGTTAGCTGCTTTCTGATTGGATGTAAGAATAGGCTTCGCCAAACCTCAGGCGGCCAGGTGCTATCGCGTTACCCGTGACTGCGCGTGGCCGCCGTTTACCCTTCATAAATGAGAATGCACTGTGTAATCCAAAACGCATACCAGAGAAATTAAGTGTGGGGTCTTGGACACAATCGCCTGAAATGAGTCGGGGTTGAAAATTATTGTTATTATTATTATTGTTGTTGATTTATTATTATTATTATTATTATTATTGATAATGCATTACGTCGATGTGTTGATAATAATAATAATAGGCCTAATAATAATGCGGAGTATTCTTGTGCATATTATATAATTCACCAGACTCTCGTTTTGCAATTTATCTTGTATTTTGACGTAAACCCGCCTCTGATGATTGTTTGTGATTCAGGGGAGTAGCACTGCTTTAAGATGTTATGCAATTTGTTTGATTTTACAGGTTCCTGTTTCAATGTGGCCCCCGGGGGTGTTCCACAGAGCAGGATTTCTCGGTTAGCTGGCTTAACTTGGCTAGAAGTCATGCTTGTCCAATTGAAATGCCCCTTACCTAAACTCTTATTGGATAATCATGAGTTCTAGCTAAGATAAACCCAGCTAACCGAGAAATCCTGCTTCGTTGAACACCGCCCCCCTCCCCCCCTCGGCTGCCATTCAGGAGCGCACAAATATTGCTGCCTGTTGCATTGCTTGAGTTTTCTGTACTTCATGCATGAAAAGCGCATTTCATTCTATTTTAACTGTGCATTTATCGCGAAAAGTAAAAATATACAAGAACATTTCCATATATCTTAAAGAATGCACTACAAGGCACACCCACAAGAATTGTTGCTGTTGTTATCCATCTTTCTGGAATATTCCAGTGGTGGGGATACTCCAGGCAGGTGTGCGCATGACACACGAGGCCTGCTTATTTAAATGGTATGATCCGATCACGTGCCACCCTCCTCAACTCCCAAACACATCGACGTAATGCATGCCCTTTTTAACATAGGGTGACCAGGTAATCTACGTCAGAGAGGACACTGAGCTACTTCGGGGTTTATAAACTACGTTTAAACTGAAAGCTTCCTGTTCTCCCGATGCTTTAACTGGCTTGTTTTCTTGATAGAAAGACTCGTCCAGCTGTTTCACAATAACATTAGTGAGACATCAATCAGCATTCAACAAGAACTCAGTGCTTAAGTGAAATCCAGGTCGTTTTAATTGAAATGGTGGTTTACAAATTCTGATTTAGCTCAAAGTGTCCCCTTTCCCATCCCTAGGGAACGTGTGATTATGTTTTCATCAATATATACCAGTTTGTTTCGTTTTTGCAGACTTTCTGCACATTGGTCTTGTGTGATACTGTACATTCATTATAGATTAACTCTGCACTTCTACATGAAAAGCTTTGCAAGTCTAAGCAAATCTCTCCTGTGACAAAAAAAAACTACTGGATTTTTCTCTTTTTCCTAAAAATAGACTTGAATGGACAGGCTTGGTGTAGGCCTAAAACTAAATTTTACTCACTGGTCCCGAAAGTACACTTCATTATACCCGTCCAGAGCATATTATCTTGCTTAATGTATAATACTAAATTATGAAGCTGTTTACGAAAAAATATGTACGTTTTGTAACAATCGATTTTTGAAATATCCCAAAACTCATATTTAGGGATAATTAGAACTAATTCAATTTGTTGGGAAATTAAGTCTGCATGCCCTCGCGCATTACCACAAAATCATAGCGCTATCCACAGATCACTCGCTCATGTTTCTTCATTCAGAAATGCAAATGATTTCATACTTCATGCTGTCTTCGCCACGTAATATCAGATGCAATATGTATAATATCGCTATTAAAATGTAACGAACAAAAATAAACTGGAACGCTACATGCTCTAAATGAATTTCCATTATTATTACGATTTATTTTGATACGACGTTTCTGTTACACTGTGGATGTTGAGTCTTTATTTTTCTGATGACTGAGCGACAAGCGGAGAGCAGAGCCGCTCTTCAAGGCTACAACACCGTCCTACATTCCACGTGGGAGTGTGAATAGCTTGCTAATTGTGACAAGAAAGAACTGCCTATATTGTATCATCCTGGTTGAGGTCTAGAGCAACATCATCGCTCAGTCCTTGATTCCAGCTTGTTTTCCGTCAGGCCTAAATAATGTCAAACACCTAAAGCATATCGCTGGAGGCCAATATTACCGATTCACCTCATATTACTGCTGATGAGAAGGTTTTAAATGTAAGAATGCGTTTATGGTCATTTTAAAAACACTACAAAATATTGATTCCAAAAGTTTTTTTTATGATAAAAGTAAAAGAACATGCATATATCAACATTAGTCTCTCCTTGACAAAACAATAGAAAAATATACAAATTGACCGAAGATGTGGAAAAAAAACCAAAGTTGATTTATGTTTTTCATTTTCATTCAGGTAAAATCAAGCACATTTTTGAGACAGCAGTTGAAACTTCTATCAAATACATATGGCACCTTTACCAAACTTTATAGGAAAACACAGAAATAGACCACAGTTAGTTTCATTACAATAACTCATTGATTCTGTTTTGCTACAACTACTAACAAAGATAAAGGGAATCAGTTGTGCATTTTAAATGCATGTATACAACAAAATGACTTCATATTCTTTATAAGAATGAAAATAAATCAATTATCACATTTGGAGTTATGAATTTACATACTTTTTTATCCAGCATAAATTGATGCACCTGGACCATCCTGTTTGTGGAAGAAATTAGTGTTTGTTTTAAAGAACCAGGTAAGTCTGCAGGACAACAAGCTCAGTACCCAGCAGTTGATGGTAACATTAAGCGCCTGATGGGCAAGGTTGCAGTTATGGTCAATCAGTTTGCAGATCCAGGTCAGACTGGTTCTTCACATGCAGCACAGTGGCCAGATACATCCACACCTCTACAATGAGGCATGTGATTCAACCAATCTTCACCTCATCGGTGAGGCATGCTATTGACCCCCCCCCCCCATCGCAGGGCACACACACACACACCCACACACACACACACACACACACACAAACACACACACCCAATAGTAAGGCACATGGCTGATTTTGCTGCAGGTCAGTCCCACATGAAAAGTGAAAGCAGTGGGGGCTGAAGACCTGGACATACCAATAACAGGGTTACCACCACACAGTTCATAGGATACGGATTTAAATTGGCTCTGTGTATTAATTAAGAACGACATAGTAGTGTTATGGACTAATACATTCATAGACATAATGCAAAGAATACTAAGTGAAAAATCTACAGTGAATCTACTGCAGTTGTAGATCTTCACAGAATCTATTCAACCAACATTATAACATCGCAATTCCTAAAATGCTCTACTTACAAAAAAAAGTTTAATATCCCATCGTTGATTTAGACTGTGATGACGTCACAGTGAAAGCCTTACTGCAGACTCAGACGATCTTGACCCAGCTGGATAGCAGTATGGTCATGAAACAACAGTGGCTTCTGAGTGCATAATATTGAACGAAACAAATGTACAAAACGCTTAAATTACTCAGAAGAACACAGTGCATTGCTACTTGACGTAAACACATTTTTTAAAACCCTTTCCCGGGAAGGCGCTTCAGATCGCTTCTGCATTGTGTAGTTCGTACATTCTTCCAGGAGGTGGCGGTCTTTTCCAGTTTCAAAAATGGTTCTTTCGCAAGAATTGCCGGTATCGTGGGGGGTGGGGGGTGTGGCGAGATTGCTGAAAAACGATACCAGTGCCATTCTCCCTTTTAAACTCAGAAAACGGGCGTTTTGAAACATTAATAGTGCAGAAAAACTCAGTTATTGTGCAATGGTTTTGTAAAAAGCATGTTCATGTGCAAGAATGTTTTTCGGGCATTTTGTACCGGTCAGATCCTCTCCTGTTAATGATGAGATACACATCTGCTCGGCAGAAAACAGTTTCTTCTGCCGGTTTTTACTCCAGAGTATTTGAGTTTGTAACTGGATAGTCAGTGCATCAAGAAAAACACAAAAAATAATCGCGAGGGAGAAGATCCTTCTGTGGATTTCTGACTTTTGGGATACAAGCAGCATTTTTAAAATTAATTCCTCCACCTCCCATTCCCCCTGCTGCACTGCTAAATCACTGATATCAGTAACCAGTCATAAAAATGTAACATTCATATTTTCTTGGCAATCCAAGGAGTCATTTGGGATGAGGCTAGGGGGTCTGCACCCTGGTTTCTGGGATATTTTTCCAATCAAATACCTTTGAGGCATACACAAAGATTAAAAGGGAATTGTGGGTATATGCACCATTTCGTTATTGCTGTCAACAGTAACGATTCTATAAAAGTATGCAGAGGTCATAGGAAATCATTTTAAGGCACTTCTTTAAAATATTAAATGATAATACAAGATAAAGATGCCAGTATAAAACCCGGTGTCTTCACCATCCTGCAGAATGAATACTAAATGTTTTCTGAGCACCGGGAAATCAGAAAAAAAGTCAGTCTGTGCCTGCTTACTGCAGTCAGACAGACACCCATTCTCTGCTCCTGTGAATGAGATACTTTTTTCCCTCTCAGTTGGGGGAATCAGTATGTCACTGTCAAACACACCGATACTGATGACTGTAGCTAGCCAGTAGCTAGCAAGCATTTACATTACCAATCAAGATTACACAAGCTGCTCTTTCCCCCAGACATGGAGATTATTTCTGCTTCTCATGACATTTAACAGAGTTTAACTGAAGTGTCTAAATCTGTACGCCCATGTTCTGCAAAATGTTTGCCAGTGGACTTGCTGGGAATGTCATGGCATGTGGCGAATCAGATGAGAACGGTCACAAATACCGTGGAAAAAACGTGGACGGCTGACAGGAAGTGAGGTGCAGTCAGAAAGACTGTAAAGCGCATTGGAGATTGTTTGTTCACATGACCACACGGGTGTCTGTGATTGGTTTGTTTGACCGGTGCTACTGGTTCTGGTTCCACATATCCAGATGGAGATGATCTCTTTTGGGTGTGAATGTGACATTCCTTCGAGGTCTCATCTCTTTCCAGTCAGTGTCATTGTAATACCATGTTCTAGAACGTTCCTTTCCTACTTGCGCTTTACCCCTCAGAGTAGATACAGGACAGCTGGCTGGTGGAACGGTCCATGGCACTGATCTGCAGGAAGCTGGTGTCCTCTGCCATGGCCGGCCCCTGGTCCTCCAGAAATTCCTGGGGCGCCCCGTGGAAGTCATTCACTGTGGACGTGGAAACACACACACACATACAGATATACATAAAGACACACACACAGATGCACAGACACACACATAGAAACACAGACACCCACACACACACATGCACAGACACACACAGACAGACAGACAGACACACACACACAGTTGATGGGTCTCATATTCGGTGCACCTTCTCTAGGTGTGACATTCCTCGGTTCATTAGCCAGTTACCTGTGATTCCAGACAGAACCTTCTGGAACATGTCGAGACTATACTGAGTCACCTCTCCGGGAGCTAGACCATCCTGGAAGCCAGCATCTGGGGCCATGTGACAGGAAGTGGCTGGGTTGGCCGGACCAGCGGCGCTGTTGTACAGCGGTGGACACGTGCTGTGGATCTGTCCGTAGAAGCCTGGTGGAACGCCATAGATACAGAAATGCTATTTGCACACGTCATCGTACAAGTATGACCGCTTGTCTATTACAGAACTAGGGAGCCTGAAGCTCTTTCAGAAAGTACGGGGCACCCGGGACGGGACAGCAGTCATGTGTCCATCATGCTTTTCATCATCCATGGGCATTTATCCAGCACTGTCCCCAAAAGCCCCAACGAGGCGCAAGACACCCTGGATGGGATGCCAGTCACGAGTGTTGGATCCAATAGCATTTAAGTCCCCTAACAATGTCCCTTTTTACAAACTTTATTCCTCCAGCATATTCATTTTTATGGATTTTCTCCAGCCTTCTCCCAAAACTGACTTGCATCCCAGATATTGACATTTCTCCAAATGTTATTTCTGCCGATAAATGAGTACATTTCTATTTGTGCAACATGTCCACCATTACTTAAAGACAAGGGAATCGAACGACGGGGCGATTTATCTGTAAAAGCCGATCTGATCTGTCTTCAATGCTGACATCACAGCTGGTAAGTCACATGACGTACCACTGGAGCTTGCTTAAATGGGTCCTGGTCTCTGGAAGACCACCAGGATGGCTGCAGCTGTTAATCATGGGCTGCCCGATAAGGAGGATCTGCTGTATCATGCTTGGTAATACTCGCTGTACAGCCATTCCTGGAAAATCCAGCTCTTAGAAGGAAATGAGATGGCATTTATTTATATGAGCTGAATCAGGTCCGTGACCCTTAGGAAATGCAACACTGCTCTGGTGATGCGTTTAATTACTCCTCAACCTCTGCCCCCCCCCCACACCTGTAATCTGATGGTGGGTGGAGATGGGATGGATTCTGCAAGCAGTCCCCAACTTTGTCTCCCAGTTTTAAAAAATCATTGAAGAATCAGATGAACATAAACGTGAGGATGGGGAGATGGGAAGGGAGGGGCGGAGCAGCACTGACCTTGTAGCAGGAGGGCGTCGGCCACGGCTGTGTTGCCTGATTGGCTGAGGGGAGAGCAGGTCTCCTGGCACGGGGCCTCTGCCTTCCGTGGACGGGGGGTGGGCGGAGCTGGCAGCCTCTCCTGCCCAGGGCTGAGGTGGAATGGCGAAAGGGCACCATAACTGTGGCACAGTAACAACATAGTGGGTGAAATTTAAAAACACATATGGCTACATAAAGCCTAGCGCTGGTGGCTGTGTGGGAGGAATCACCTGGGAGGTGCCGCCATGTTGGATATGGCCCCCTTAAGCCCCCTGAGTCACTCTGCGCCCCTCCATCACGGCTAACACCCAGAACAACCCCCCCCCCTGGCCCGAGATTCCTGGGAACCGCAGGAATTTTTCACTTTATTTTTTATTATTATTTTATTTTTTTCCCCAGAGACTTATGGGATTTATGGAAACAATGTCTGTGGCAGTGTGTGTGTTGCTGGGAGAGCACTTATGGAGCAGGAGCTTAAGGAGGAAGGAAGACCTGCAGAGAGGAGAGAAGAAAGCAGCTGCGGGGATTTAACAATCGATTTAACATCCCGAAAGCCATTACGGCAAAATCCCCTTTGCCAAGCTTTAACGCTATTTTCCAGATTTTATGAATTGCTTATTGAATTCCTGGGCAACTCCTGCTGGTGGCTAATAGCACAGGCTGATGCAGGCCCAGAGAAGGGGCTGATTTTGGGATCCGCGAGCCCCCTACACCCCCCCCCCCCGGCTTACCGCTGCTGAGGTAACAATCAAGGGCTGACGAGAGGCAGCGAGTGAGGGTGGGGCTCTCTGACCGCGCTGAGCCGACCGGCTCCTCTCACCGGCAGCTGATGGCAGCTCAAAGCCCCCCCATAACCCCTAGATGCCCCCCTACCCCCCACCCCCCCCCCCCCCCCCCCCCCCCCCCC